AGAGGGGGAGCAGGTTGGGGGAGGGGTGGCGGGGGTATAACAATGCCTCGATGACAATAGCTCCGCTCATAACTGATGCTGTAAGACAATAATTATGTACATCATACCGCCAGCTGTCGGGCCGAGGCCAAATATGGAGGTGCCCGACCCCCCCCTCGTCGGAGAACAATGCAAGCTAAGAGAGACGGTGGGGGACAGGTGTGGCCCCCCCGGGCCCCTTATAACGTGCCGGGGGGGGGAACGGAGGTCTGCCATAGGACCTAGCACAGGGAAGGCAGCAGGTGCCAGCAGAGGGACTCAGAGCCGCGCAACGCCAACATGGAGGCCATCAAAAAGAAGATGCAGATGCTGAAGCTGGACAAGGAGAACGCGCTGGACCGCGCCGAGCAGGCGGAGACGGAGCAGAAGCAGGTGGAAGAGAAGTGCAAACAGGTACAGGTGGGGTAGGGGAAAGTGGTCCCACAGAGGACCTCAGTCTCCTCTCCCCCAGTGATCAGTCTGCTGCAGGCAGGAGGAAGCATTTCCTCAGTCTCCCAGTGATCAGTCTGCTGCAGGCAGGAGGAAGCATTTCCTCAGTCTCCCAGTGATCAGTCTGCTGCAGGCAGGAGGAAGCATTTCCTCAGTCTCCTCTTCCCCATGGATCAGTCTGCTGCAGGCAAGTTGAAGCATTTCCTCAGTCTCCCCTCCCCCAGTGTTCAGTCTGCTGCAGGCAGGAGGAAGCATTTTCTCAGTCTCCCCTCCCCCCAGTGATCAGACTGCTGCAGGCAGGAGGAAGCATTTTCTCAGTCTCCCCTCCCCCCAGTGATCAGACTGCTGCAGGCAGGAGGAAGCATTTTCTCAGTCTCCCCTCCCCCCAGTGATCAGACTGCTGCAGGCAGGAGGAAGCATTTTCTCAGTCTCCCCTCCCCCCAGTGATCAGACTGCTGCAGGCAGGAGGAAGCATTTTCTCAGTCTCCCCTCCCCCCAGTGATCAGACTGCTGCAGGCAGGAGGAAGCATTTTCTCAGTCTCCCCTCCCCCCAGTGATCAGACTGCTGCAGGCAGGAGGAAGCATTTTCTCAGTCTCCCCTCCCCCCAGTGATCAGACTGCTGCAGGCAGGAGGAAGCATTTTCTCAGTCTCCCCTCCCCCCAGTGATCAGACTGCTGCAGGCAGGAGGAAGCATTTTCTCAGTCTCCCCTCCCCCCAGTGATCAGACTGCTGCAGGCAGGAGGAAGCATTTTCTCAGTCTCCCCTCCCCCCAGTGATCAGACTGCTGCAGGCAGGAGGAAGCATTTCCTCAGTCTCCCCTCCCCCAGTGATCGCTCAGACTGTACACTGTAACTTTGTAGCAAGATTCAAAGATGTAATTCTCCGTGAGAGGTCATCCATACCTGGAAGTGTTATACTGGGCATGCATGACCCTGACGTGCTCCGATGACAGGTCCACTTTAAGTAAGCCCTTGCATGTATAAGGCGATGACCCGCTGACCTCTGCATTCCCGCAGCTGGAGGACGACCTGGTGTCCATGCAGAAGAAGCTGAAGGGGACGGAGGATGAGCTGGACAAGTACTCGGAGGCCCTTAAAGATGCCCAGGAGAAGCTGGAGGTGGCCGAGAAGAAGGCAGCTGATGTATGTAAAGGTCTCAAGGTTTTTGGGAGGGGGGTCCCAGTAAAAAGACTGGAGGCCCGGGCCTGGTGGAACCAAGGCGAGGGGCACTCATATATAAGGCCCATATATGCATAGAAGGATATCAGGTCAACTACCTGTATATAAAGAGCTGCATTGATACATAGGGGGCAGCATTCACCATACATTCACTGCAGGTGAATCTGCCAGTTGCATGTGTTTTAAATGACAGTGATTGATTCACCATGAGTGAATGTTTGCGGAAAGTCACATTCACTGCTTTATAACAGCAAAGATGTGTGTTAGAGACATGAGCCTGTATATAAAGCGCACCATCTATTCTACAGTGTGTGTCTATAGTGTCTCTGTAATGTGTAATGGGAGGATGCAGTACCTATAACTGTCCGCCAGGTGTCAGCAACGCCCTCCCTCTTTCACAATACGTAATACATGCGGACCTGCAATACCCGTTTTAGGCCACTTGATGTCAGCAGCGCCTTCTCTTCCCATTCCACGCATTTAGGCGGGGCCGCAGTACCGTCCCTTGGCCACCAGGTGTCAGCAGCCTCTCCCCGCCTCCTCCCAGCTATAAGGGCGTGGTGGCCGGAAGTGGGGGTCGCGCGGGGAGCGGAAGTGTCCTCACTTCAGTCAGAGAGGGACTGCGGAGGAGGAAGATGTCTGGCGGAGGGATGAGCAGCATTGAGGCGGTAAAGAGGAAGATTCAGGTCCTCCAGCAGCAGGCAGATGAGGCCGAAGAGAGGGCGGAGAAGCTGAGCCGGGAGGTGGAAAGCGAGCGCCGGTCCAGGGAGCAGGTGACTCGAATACACCCACACACTGGACTGTATGGGGCCGTGGGAGGGAGGGATGCCACCCGAATACATCTCACACTGTAGGATAATCGGGTATAATCGGGTCGATTATCACACCCGAATACACCTCACACTGTACAGAGGGCAGTGACTCGAATATTGCGCGCAAATGCACCCCGCACTCTACAATACAGGGAGCAGGTGACCCGAAAACTCACCCTATTCCCTGCTCAATTCTATACAAGGGGGCCTGAGGCAGGTGACCTGAATATCACACCCTTCACTGCCTGAATACATATTATATAGGAGCAGGTGACCCCCACTACACCCGAATATCACCCTATACCTGATTATCACACCCTGAGATGTGAGAATGGATACAGGTGACCTGATTGCCCCCCACATACTGCTCCATTCAGGGGTGCTGTGGGGGTGACTCCAATATTCCCCAGATGACCAGAGTATGGGGTTCTGGTGATGCCAATACAACACCCCATGCTGCTGTATACAGGGTGACCCCCAATACCCAGCACCTGAATGTGCCACATGGGCTGGGGACCGATGGGTGACCTCAGTATAATGCATGGATACACCCCATACTGATCTATTCTGGGGGCCAGGACCCAGATATGACACCATTTTATTGAGCGACACATCACCCTACACTATACAGCTGTATACAGGAAGCTCTGGGAGATGGTGACCCCAATACCCTACAATGGAATGTACCTCAAGGGACAGGGAGGACCCAGACAGGTGACTCAGCAGGGAAGAAGCAGAAAGCTTGGGGGTTGGTGTCTCCAAAAACCCCACACCCACATCTTTCCCATCCTGTACAGGCTTGGGGAGCCCTGATGTGGGTGACCTGAATATTACACCCCGTGCTGTACTATACCTGGCACCCAGCGGGAGGGTCTTGAATATTGTACACCCAACACTGCCTTTTACAGGATGAGAGCAGAGCCCGGACCATACACCCCAATATCACACCCCACCCCATAGTAAATAGGTAGAGCTGGGAGAGGGCATTGGAGACCCTTCTGTACAATACAGGTTGTTCAGGAGGTGGAAGGTCAGTAGAGCCCCGGTTGGGTGACCAGATTATCACACCCCATTCTCTGTCTCCTTACTATTGTACATCTCTGCTGAGCCTTGTCCTAGGAGCTGACACTCATCTCTGTATAACCGTCCTCCTTTCTAATAATGTCTGGCAACCATCCTCTTCAGAATGGGGTTACTATGAACGTTAGCAGTTTCTTCTCTTCTGGTGACACACAGGAACCCTGTACAGAAGGCATGCTGATTATTTCCCCTGTGAAGGTGACCATATTGCGGTGTGCAAGCAGAGGTTGTTCCGTGTTAGCCATTGGCCCAGTGTTCACCAAGAGCGGGCATGGGGTGTTCTGTAGTGAGTTGCTGGATGGGATTAATAAGACTGAGCAGGAGATGTTCACTGGCCATTGGCTTCTTATAAACACCCAGGAAATGGTCTTCATCAGGATTCGTATTTAGGGCTGAGAATGGGTGATGTCCTGACCGATTCTTCCAGGCTGGGAGTGTATGGAGGCAAACAGCGCAGTGACTCTATGAGCCTTCCACCCTACTCGGGTTGTTTCTTGCCTCAGCCGGCGCGCACCGCTTACTGCTTACCTCCATGGCTGCCTCTGACTGCTCCTGAGAGATGTGATTTCTATTAAGAGAAGCCGACATTGCTGTCCTCCTGATCATCTCATTTCCCTGGCTGCCATGCTGATCCTTCGTCTTCAATACTTTTCCGGTCAGACTCCAGCCAGAGAATCAGTAGGAAGGCAATGGCGGCCTCCATGTTTTTCTTCAAAAGGGTCTCCTTTAGGCGCATTAAAAATGGTCCCATTTGGCTGCAGCTTATAACACTTACGGGAACATCACCAGTACCTTGTCCCGGTTTTATGATGGGTTAGACAGTTTCATCTTTAAACTTCAGAGCTTCAGGCAGCCTGTTGCATGGAGCATGGTGTCTCCAGCAATGTCATTGGGGCTCTCAGATATTCACGCATGGTCCTCCTATCTCTAAAGGGATGCCATCTTGTGGTAAAGGCAATCCTCCCACTTCGCAGTCGTATAGAAAGATTTCAGCAAGTGCACTGGAATGCTCAATCTTAGAATTTATAGAGCAAAAGCAGGTGATGATCTGCAATAACGTTTACTAAAATCTTGAGTATATCAGGGGTAGGCAACCTCGGTACTCCAACTGTGGTTAAAGGGACTCATACCAGTCGCTGTCAGTTTTACAATGACTCATGGGGCTTGTAGTTCCACAGCTGGAGTGCTGAGGGTGTCCACCCCTGGTGTTAAAAAGCCCCTCAAACTTTAGTCCTTGGTTAATTGCTTGTCTTGTCTTTACTGCTTGCATCTCTCCTTTTCGAGTGTAAGCTCCTCTGGTGCAAAGACTGATTCAGTGTTCTCTGTACAGCGATGCGGTATATGTCAGAGCTTTATAAATGTATAATAGTGTGTGATTGTGGGGGTATATTAGAGTGTAAGCTCCTCTGGTGCAAAGACTGATTCAGTGTTCTCTGTACAGCGATGCGGTATATGTCAGAGCTTTATAAATGTATAATAGTGTGTGATTGTGGGGGTATATTAGAGTGTAAGCTCCTCTGGTTAAGACACTGTGACTGGCCCGTCGATCTCTGTACTGCGCTGCGGAATGTGTCAGAGCTATGTACACTGGTGGTTGAGTTCCAGCTGCCATGTTGCGAGGAAAGTTTATCCAGGAGGTGTACTGGATTAGCAGTGTGTTTTCTCAGGGCGTCTGCCGCGATCTCTGCCAGGGTTGGGTTATTGTGTCATCTGCCGGCGTTTTGACTCCCAACATCTTCACATGCCATGAGTGCCTCTGCACAATGGTGACTGATTTCAGGCCTGAGATCGAGACAATTAAAGGAGAATGAATCTTAAAAGCTCAATGTGTAGAAAGCTCTAAAACTAGCTCCGAATGTCAATGGAGGCCATAAAACCCCAGAGCAGGCAATGCTATTCATGTAGCTGGACTACATAATCTTTTATGCCTCCGGCTGTTTTAGACTGGGGGCTTAGGGTGGGTTCACACCTTTTTTCGGACCATATCTGGAGCGCAGTGCATTGCATTTTTGCCTCGTTCCAGAGCTGGGTTTTGTTTTTTTTGCTTTAAAATGGGCTTTCAGGTGCTTTCCAGTGTGTTTTTGTATGTTTGATGTGTTTCCATGTGTTCCAGCATTCCAGACCAGATAAAATGAGACGTGCAGTATTTTTCTGGTCTGGAACGGACTGCTGGTGTGAACAGAGGGCAGAGATAGCATTGGGATACATAAGGATGCATTTTGGGTCCAGAAACAATCTAGTTTGGTATGGATACGGTGTGAATGGGTCCTTAAAGTAAATTTAAACACGTACTGGATGAGGTTTAGCTTCTCTATGTATCATAAGCGATGATTCATTTTATTTTAAAGTTCTGTTTTCAATTTAAATAAATTTCGGTGCTGCTGATCTCCTCTCCTGCACCCAATTATTAGCCACTTCCTGTCGACATTACTCCCAACGATGGCAGCATGACATATCTCAAGGCGAGGTTTCCTAACGGTGACAACGGTGGGCCTTGCTTGTGTAATGAAAAAAGAAAAATATGGACAGCGGCACTTCTAAGGTAGAAGTACGTCTATTGACGCACGTGCAAAACATGTTTATTGCGACATATCGGGGTTACGCAAGATCCCCTTCATCAGGCAGAACAAGTGTTTTTCACTTTTCCATACTTTTTTGTATTACTGGACGGTAGCCATCCGTCGACTGCCGATGCACTCAACCATTCTTATTATGGATAAGCGGTCAGGAGTGCAATGGGTATATGGATTGTAATTGCTTGTGTAATGAGGCGGCCACTCGGAAGCCCGTGTGACAGCGCAGGAGCACTATTGGGAGATGGGGACACGGCGTTGTCACCCTCGAAATGGAACAGTAGCCGGAATATTTGATTGAAAGCCTCAGATGTAAAGCGATAGAAAACATTAACATGGTGATATTGGGCTTGCATTATATGACGGGGTCTGTATCCCTAATATTTGTAACCAGGAAGTCACCTGTGTTGTAGAAACAACTTCCCCACACTCCCACATTAATATCAGTTCAGAAGGTGGTTTTGTGGGTGGTCGCGGCTCATTCTTGGCTGAAGAGAAAGGAAAATAAATCTTGGATCGTGTAAGATTTGGCGCGTTCCGGTATCTTTATGAGCCACGCTGATAATAATGTGTTTTACAAGCGAGCGTGGATCTTCAGGGATTTTCCTGTACGAATGTTGGAATCCTCCCAGACACTCTTCTCTCTCTACAAGTCTTGCCTTAGAAAGCCGTCTGTCTTCTTTGTGCGACATCCCGCCCAGGCCGGTCCTGCTCTTCCTTTTACAGTAAGACGGCCTCAGCCAGGAATGATGAAAGTCCCTAAATATGTCGGCTTCCTTAATCTGCGGCCGCTCATTGCGGGAAGTGCCAAGTGGGGCGTGGCTTTTGTTGTAGAGGGGTGGCAAGGGTTAATGCTCTTTATGTCTAATCTTAGGGATTTGTAGCGTAGACGCGGGTTTAGGCGGACATGCCAGTTTTTATTCCCATCAGACTCGCGCAGATGTCGCCTTGATGCGACTTACTCCATCAGCAGGTTCCATGGCAACCGGGAGACAAGTCGGCGCGCTCCTGCCTTTAACACTGGCCGCGCGTTATAGTTCAGGCCATTGTCGTGTTTTTTTTTTTTGCGGTGATGTTTAGTCTTATGGCGAATTTCCAAATTAAAGATTGAATGCTGATTGGGTGTACCTGATTGATTTGTCCAGTATGCTCCGGTGACTTTGCAGGGTAGGCAAAAAATGGCACACGCACATCATTCCTACAAGGTAAACCCATAAACCAGGGGTAGGCATCTCCTACATCCTCCAAAACCCATCATGTCCCTGCCTCTGGGATTCATGCCTGTGGCTGTCTGTCCGGCATTGCCTCATGGGACTTGTAGTTCCACAACAGCTGAGGTTGCCCACCCCCGGCCGATGGGTTTGCCTTGTATTAATAAGAATGCTGCGCATGTGGCAGTTTTGCAAAAAAACCGAACATCCCTGATCCCAATGCTGGTTATGTTGGCTGTTGTGGTGCATGCTGGGAATTGTTGTCCCGCTTAAGCTGCCAGCTGGCCTATTATGTGCCCTGGATGTGAATGGCTCTGTGTGGTCATCTATACAAATGCCAGAAGAGATTTATTGTTCCGAAGGTGGAAAAAAACGGCATCGGATTTGTCTGATCAGACTTCCTGCGTGTCCTTCCCCTCATTTGTACCCCGCTCCCCCCTCAGACACACCCTCCCGCGGCTTCCTTTTTCGGTTTCTATAGAGATAATTTGGAGGAATTTAACCCCCAGCACATCCTAGGCCTCTTCCTGGCTGGGCGTGTTCTGCTTCTATGAATGAGGATAGGGGTTAACGACATGCGGCCATCTAGAGACCAGAAAAACCTGCTTTTTATCAGACCAGATTCATTTATATTCTGCACAGTGGGGGGTGTACATGCTACAAGCCTAGATCTCTGCCATTCCATATGTCGGTGTATAAATATATGCATGTAGTAAACAAGGCCGACATAGAACACCATGACTTCGTAGATTGATTTAGCGGTGAAGCTCCGGGGCCTACAGCAGGAGGGTTTGTAGAACAGGTTTTGGTAATTCACACGGTGCTGCGAGTATCTGATGTCTATGGAGGGATCAGGTTTTGGCTTTTGCCGCGGGAAGCTGTGCGGTTGATAGTCATATCTGAAATCACCGTTTAGCCACAATATCCTGCCCAGCCCTTCCTGTTCATATAGGATTTGAAGTGATGTTTCACTTGTGCAGTCCAGATCTGATCAGTTAATTTTATTGCCGTACGTTTTGACCCCCTTATTAGGCCAGGAACAATTGTGCACACTTTTTTTTCCTTTTTTGGGCCACAAAGCACTTCGCCTAGTTGCATGGTGGGAGGTGATCACTTTGTGACCAAAAGGGGACCTGCAGCTTAATTCATTTACATTGCTCCCTCTGTAGTAGAGCCACCTGTCCCCGAGCTGTGCTTGTGTATAAAGCTTGTATAGAAGCTTCCATTGGTGGTTTGTTGTAGCCTCTGGTATTGTCATACTGCTCAGTCACTAACATGGAACGGTGTAGGACAGGAATCTGGGATCTGCTTAGCTATGGCAAGCTGATCTCGCACGTGTCTTAAAAGTAAAACTAACGCCTTGCTGTTTTTATATTCTAGTTGCTGGAGACAAATGTAACCTTCTCCTGTAATCGTATAAATACACACAGTTCCCTCTTTACAGCCACATCCGCACCCCCTCCTACTTGCCGATTAGAAGAACCTCTGCCCTCAAAGTGCTCTTGTGCCCATAGTAATCCAAACCACATGTCCCATCATGCATATCGCTGCCGTGCATGCGTGCAGCCTCACCGCCAATGTGTGGACGCTGTCAGTCAAATTACAGAGGAGGTGGATGCAAGTAGTTACATATTGGGCTGTCTGGATAGGTGGGCAGTGCCATCACACCAGGATGTAGTCCTCGGCTTTGGAGCGCACACTACAGGGTGGATCCTTAGGACACGGTAGGAGAAAGGAACTACCCTGAGAACGGAAGTTAGCATTATCAATGGGGACACAGATAAAAATAATCTGTAAGAAAGGTCTGCACACAGGGAGAGGAGGCAGGACAAGTAAATCTGACAATACTCCAATTCAGTAGCTGAAAAATATTGAAGTCTACTATCACTTTAAAAAGGAACCTATGCTGAGCTCACACAGGGCAGAGCTTACCAGTTCTGTGTATCCTCCAAGTGGCTTTGGTCGGACCTTGCACAGTACTGTGGGGCCTAACAGCGCCCTCATTTGGCTGCACTTGGCCTAGCGATTGGGACGCTTGTATCATGGGAGGAAGTCCAGTACATGTAATACATGTTCGGTATCAACCAGCCCTAAAAAAAAGGTGGCCTAATGCTCCAGCATCTCCCAACATCTGGAATTCTGTTTTGGTGAACTGATCCCGAACCGTTTACTCTAATGCTATGTAAAACAGCTGACACTAAGTTTAGCTTGCTGATGGGAAACAGGGATAGTATAGATGGTGCAGGGGCTGTTGCCTTACAGCTGCCATTCTTATTGGGGTCCTGCCAGTTTAGTTTTTGTCTGACCGCATTGTTTTTTGTTTTTCTCTCTCGTTAATTACTATTTTCTCTCACAGGCTGAAGCTGAAGTGGCATCCCTCAACCGCCGTATCCAGCTGGTAGAGGAGGAGCTGGACCGTGCCCAGGAGCGCCTTTCCACCGCCTTGCAGAAGCTGGAAGAGGCTGAGAAATCGGCAGATGAGAGCGAGAGGTAAGTGGCTGGGCGAAGCCGGCTTGTGGACCCCTCTGCTTGCTTACATAGTGCTGCTTTACTCTCTAGTGTTAATTAGTAACTCTCTTCAAAAGAAATACCAGCTCTGGCGGGCAGTATTGAGTCTTGAGACTTCAGTGAAGATTACTGCAGTAATATTTCGCCACATCTTCCTCATTGAGGGTCACTGTAGTAGTTACTTCCTCTCCCACAAGGCCATAATGAAGTGTTGCTGCCTCGCCATATTTTGTATGGTGACTCCATAGGTGGAGGCAGACTCTGTAGGGTTTGGAATTACTGTCTCAGTGGGTCAGAACAAGGAATTCTGTTGATCAGATCTCATTGCTGAGGTCAAAGTCTAATTTGTATTCCTCTCTTGTATGGCTCTGTACGAAGATTCCTTACAAAGATTTGGATAAATTAAAGTAAATCATTTAACTTTAAGTTGTGCCGAGTCACATGCTGCACCGGCTGCTTCTCTGCATCATCTAGCTACTAAACGGAGGCAATTGACTGTTAGAACCGCACAGCGCTAATCCATTTTCCATTCATTATGGTAAAATCCTTCAGGGTAGGGAGTGTTACCAGTGGAAGCCAATTAGATTTGACAGTTTTCATATGGGACTGAATCCGAGCTGGGGTTTGGCTGTTGAGGGCACCCTTCACTTTGCTTGAAGCTGAACTGCAGGATGATTTCTAAATGTCCCCATTACCGTTTTCTTTTCCTCCATGAGGCCTTCACTTTAGAAGGGAGAAAGCCACGATGCCAGAGCAGCGTGAGGAGTGATCATCTGTCGGCGTCGCTTCCTTTTACTGTTCGGGACGGCTTTATCAAACTAAAATTCTCATCAAGCCATGGGAACCAGTGCATTCAGTGGGCTGAATGTGGATGTGTTTTGACTAGTTCATTTACACAGCCTGCTAATCAATTCTGGCGTAGACCCCGAGTCTTCTGGCTTGTCAGATAAAGTATAATGTCATGGTGTATGGGACAGATCGGGAGTCTCCTGGCCTATCAAATTAGGCAGTCAGTGTGGATGGGACATGCTGAATGTCTTAGGCAAGCTTCACACTTGCACAATGCACGCAGCGATTGCCGCACCGCCCCATTAATTTCAATGGGGTGACATCTGCGTGGCAATCACAGAAAAAAAGTTACAAGTACCTTTTTGCGATACACAACACACGGCTGTTTTAGCCGCGATCATGTTCAGAATCACGGCGGGAAACCACGCGATCCGCCCGGTGCGACTAGGGTGCCATTAGAAAATAATGGCACCCACAGCGCGATCGGTTCACACCTTGGCGCCTCCTGACCACGTGGCATCGTGCACGATTGCCGCGTTGTGAGGTGTCGTCTAGGTGTGAACCTAGCCTTGGATGCCTGGGTCCTTTCACTACAACTACATGATGTCGCAACTTTTAGAAATCAAAACTATGGGGATGTTACACGTCCGGTGGCCCAGGGAAGGAGCAGGCAGTGCCCACTAGTCTTGCATACAGGATATTAGGGACACCGAGCCCTGCAAATGCAGCATTCATTAACAGATTGATTGCTGGCTGCTGCATTGTTTGCAAAAAGACCACGTTTGTTACCGTTCGGAATAGACATTTATAATGCAGATTATACATTTCTGCCCAGGGATGAGCTTTAATGGCAGACTTTTTATTACACCACTAGCCTTGTAGGCTCATGTAGACTTAGGACAACTAGGTGCGGCCCCCAATCATTCACATTGTCTACAGGGATCGCTCCTCCCCCATACAGCAGTCAGGATGTCTCTGACCATCCAGAGTTTCCTGTTTGTCAGGAAATTTTTAGCAGGACCTGGTGGCTGTGTTTATATTACGCAATCTGTGATCAGGACTGTTCAAGTGGGTCACTTGGCAGGTATGTGTGCTATCTAATGGGGAAATCTCTGAATACAGGAAGTGCTCATTATTCCCACAATCACTGGACATCGGTGCGCCTATGACAGGAATGACTGTTAAAGTAAACCTAGACTTAAAATTACTGCTGACCTTTTAAACTAGACTAATATATGGAGCTTTGTATACGTTCACATCTTACAAAGCCACCCAGGAGCCTGTTGGTTTGTACCTGTGACAAGTAAGGAGTCCAAGATTCAGGAGCTAAAGACCATATGTGCATAAGTGTCAGATTTGGGGACCTTAGGGATGGTCGGCAACCACCGAAGTTGGCTGAAAGGAAAAATTTAGGGGACCATTCCTAAAGGCAATCTCTGAGCAAACCATAAACCTCCTTCCACCCCTTCTAAACCATCCTGCATGTTTTTTGCCTCTTTTTTTCACAAGGTAAAGTACTTTGCCGTAATCTGCTGTCCAGGTCCCTCACCAGCACTGTTTCGGGGCTTCGGTAACTGCTTATCCAGCGCAGCAATTGTGCTTGTGTTGGCCAAGTTCGCCAATAGTCCTCCCCAGTTTTGACATCACTGCTCGTCCAGGTCCCCACCGGCATGGTTTCTGGATGTGGGGGGGCCACTAGTCTGGTGCTGCAAATGTGCTTGTCCCAGCCATGTCCCCAAAAAATCCCCTGTGTGTGCTGACATCACTCCTTCTGGATTCTAAGAGCACCTTGCCACTGGAAAGCCGGTAGGAAGTGTCCACATGATGCAGGTAAGTCACCAGAAGAGTAGAGAAGACTGACTGTGGATTTAGTTGAATGAAAAGGGCATATACATAGTGTTTGATCAGTGAGTGAGGGGATGGGGGAGCCCAGAGATCAGCATATCCATTATCTGCCACGAGACAGGTTACTGACATGTTTCCTGGGCCTTGGCGATACTGCTGTGTGCTGATCCTTTGCACCAAAACCTTTTGACTGACGGCACTTTCACAATGGCTCTGCCACAATTTACATAGTTAAGTCGGTTTGAAAAGAAGACAAGTCCATCGAGTTCAACTTGTAGAGATATGGAAAGAAAAAAAAATGATCTCTTGGCCGAGCTATGAGCATGTGACTCACGGGTCCGTTTACAGTCCCAGAGCTTTGTGCGTCGTGCTGGCACAATGAAGGATGGGAGATGTAGTTTAATAGTTATGTCACTAGTTCATGACATATTGGCTGCCATTACTCCCCACTTGATAAATGAAGAACGGAAACATTTTTTTTTTTTCTTTCCCCAAGCATTGAATAGAAAAAATACTTGGGTACATAGTACGTGCTGCCTAGTGAGTCCTCTTTTCTAGTGCAGCCTGACCCCATCACTACGCCTCACCCAGACAGAGGACGGCACAAAATTGTGCTTGCGTGTGAATGAGTTGATGAAGGTTGTAAAGGTGATGGCGGTATGCTCTGTTATTAATGACACATTGATCTTATTTGCTAACATGCTGTCCAGACTTGACGGCCCCCACTTTCAGACCATGGGAGTGTGAAGATGTGTCGGCTGCACCTGAGTACACAGCACACTGTCTTATCCCCCTGTTTCTCACATGTTAGTGAGACTTGGGGCTCACTCAGCACAGCGTGCCTGTGCACTCCCATAAAATGACCTAATCCCGCAAGGGACGAGTGCTGCGGCTCCCCCCGAATCGGGCTGTGTGTGTCCAAGTGCCGGCACCCACACAGATGTGCAGGTTCGGGTGTGCATGTGACCGTGTAATTGCGTGCAGCCGTTTCCTTCCATAGGAAAGAACAGGCTGCGGCACGCATTTACACGCAGCACCTGTCCCTTCCAGGATCGTGTCATTTTACAGGCGTGCATGCCTGTCTGAGCCCTTAGACTGATTATCTTTCAACTCTGGAATAAGACTAATGAAGTCCCAAACAAAACTAGAAGTCCACAGCCCATATTGCCTTACACTTGATCACGGTGCACAGCCAAACCCTCTTTCTGAGGTCATTATTCATAAACTATTTGGATGCCGGCACACAATTCCTCTATGTATTAAAGCCCATGTCTGGGCAAATATTGACTCCCTCTAACCCATCCTGCACTTTGTCTCTTCCTCACCTTGTGATGCAAGATATACTCGGCTATGTCCGCCATCTGGCTTCCTCATGCTTGGAACTGCTAAACCAGCACTGCAGATGTGCTGATGTCATTCCTCCTTCTGGAGCCTGAGATGAACCCCCTTCGCTGGACACCCAATAGGAAGTGTTCACATCAAGCAGGCAGTGACGTGGACCCCCAAAGAAGGACCCTGCTTCTAGTAAAGGGAGTAGGGGGGTTTGGGAGGGATGGGAAAAGCCCTGATCACTACAATAAAGATCTATATTTCTCACAGGGTACAGTGGTCTTGGTCATAGCTAAGACTGGAACTTGTAGGTGACTGTTATCTTGTGAGCCATATGGATCTTAAATGAAGCACTATGTGCACCCATTGGGGGGAATTTATCAAAACTGGAGCAGACAGAATCTGAAGCAGTTACCCATGGCAACCAATAAGCATCTCTCCAGTTTGCTCAGGTAAGATTTGAAAATGAAACTGAGAAGCTGGTTGCAGTGCAAATCTGCTCCAGTTTTGATAAATCACCCCCCCCCCCCCACCC